GTTACCAGATGTTGAGATCTGGGGTCTATTAATATGGAATGCAACACACACAGAAGGACAAGGAAAATAAGTAAGGCAAAAACTACTTCTAGAAGATCACCTGTGTGATAATTAAACCAAATAATAGAAAACAAAAATGACTTAAAATGTATTACATATAAGAATCAATAGTTTAATGAAGCCCAAAGCCCCTGACTTCTCAGTATAAAAATCAGGGATTACATGTCACTGAAAATCAGATGTACTAGGTAAGTTGCACAGAGTCCTTACAATCCCCCTAGCCCTGTCCCTGTTCAACCTCATTTAATCTCCTCAGTCAACCCGAGGGAGGGAGAGAGGTTGGATTACTCTACTTAACCAGAGAGAACAGAAGACAGGAGAGAGCGAAGACCTTCCCCTGGGTCACACAGAGTAAGGGCTCTGTCTTAGTCTCTGGCTCAACACAGCCCTGAAGAAAGTGCATGCTCAGTGCCATTCCACCCAGACCTGGAGCAAAGGTGTGCTGGCCACTGTGATGGACCATTGCCTCTAGAGGACAGAAGATAAGTAAGTACTGCCCCTTGGGAAGCAGAGTCATTTGTTCACAGGTTCAGGCCTGGAGCCAAACCAGGCAAGTTCACACCAGCTCTCCAGCACTTTCCCCCTGCCACCCACCCAACTCTGTAGGATGCGTGGAGATGCATGTCCTCTGACTCCATTCAAGTGACAGTGAGGACAGACATACTCTTCCATGTTGTGTGTGTTGTTGTTGTTGTTCCTCTACCTACCCTTTTCTTTTAAACAATTTCATCTTTTGTACAGATGGTCCACAGGCTTCCAATGCAGGAATTGCCTTCTCCAGGTTGGAGCCAGGCCTTCAGTCCTGGGCTTTGCCTGTGAGATAAGGGTGCTATTCCAATGTTGAAATTCAGAAGAGACTGTGAAGGAGTGGGACAGGGAGGCTCCTCTCTGCACCACGCAGACGTGGTTTCCCTCCTCAACCAAAGGATGGAGCAGGGCCTCCTGCTTCCCTTCGACATCTGTGTGCCTAGCAGTGTCCTGGACAGGGTCTACATGGGAAGGCACACATGTGCACACCAATAGAAGGTTCCAAACATGATGGCTTGTCATGAGAATGGATGCAAACAGAAGGGAGCACAGGTGACCAGATGCGTACAATTTGTGAACCCTCTGGAATGGTTTTCTGTGGGAAGGATTTTCAGTACCAATTTTCCAGTTGCAGGAGAGTTGCAAAAGATATTGCAGAGGAAAGTATGCTGTGAAAAGGTCTGGAAGAGTGAACACCCTGCATAGCATTCTAGGAAGAGAAAAGAGCCTGGATGGGGAATAATAGGCCAGTCACCTGCTTTGGGACAGTTACCAGGTAAGGCCACTTACATGTTCATGGGACAAAAGGCACTGGCACTGGGCACAGAGAGCTGGACCAGCCCAGGCAGTACTTGCAGCCTGGTGGAGAGCTCAGAGTCTAGAGGAGGGGCTGAGCCCTGACGGGGCATTGGGTCTAGCATGCACACCCTGATAGCCTGAAGTTAAAATGTTCTAAACCAACAAAAAAAAAATTTTAAAGACATAATCCAATTTGTAAAATGTTTAATGTTATCCATCCATTTTTAAATGTAATTATTTAATGTGCTACATTTATTCTTTTAAAAAAGAATGCTACAGTGTGCTACTGCTGCAGAGATAGAAAGATCTATCCAATACCTGAGCCACAATAGTAACAGCAAAACCAAAACACCAAGAAGAAAATGTAATGAAAACATCATTCATCATCTAAATGAAAGGTTAAAAAGTCTACCTGTGCTTTAAAAGTAGGTGCCCATGGCATCCAGAATCCTGGAAAGCTAGGCTGGCATTCAGGTCCCGTGCCAGATATTCTGCTCTCTCACCTGTCCATACCACACCTGCACCACCTGCCATGTTTCTCCCATGCTGTGCATGAAGACGCTGAAGGTGAGAAGCACCTCAGTTCCTCATGGCTCATGTGCGTAAGTGCTGCCAGAATTGGGGTCTGAGTCATAGCATTCTCACCACAGCACACACCTTTGGTGACCAGCCACCTCTTCTGTTCCCAGACAGAAAGACACCATAGCTGATATATGGTTTGAGATAATTTTTAATCAAAATATCACTGGAATTTTAAAAATCCTGACAAAAATTCCCTAAATTGTATTGGCATGAGGTAACCTATTAATATAACCAAGACATGTCTTAAAAATAAGAATGCCTGAGTGTGAGACTGATGTAGAAACAGACTAATGGACCAGAAGAGATGGTCCAGAATCTGGCACATTTTAAATTGATAATGAAAGACCATATCATTCACATACAGCCAACCTCTGTGTGCACAAGCTCCACATCCAAGGATTCGACAACTGTGGCCTGGAAATATTTGGAGACAGAATGCATCTGCCCTGAACATGTAGAGGGGTTTTTTCTTGTCATTCTTCCCTTACTGATACAGTGTAGCAACTGTGTGTGTAGTGATTGGATTGTATTAAGTGTCAAAAGGAAACTATAAATGATGGGATGCATACAAGAGAATGTGTAGGTAGTGTGCAAATACTACACCATCTTATATAGGGGACAGACGTGAGCACTCATAAATTTTGGTGCCCTTTGGAATATGGGAACAAGTGGATCCCCATTTGGAAAATAGAAAATTGGACTCCTATTCTATATCATATAGCAAAACACAATACAGGATTAAAGATTTAACACAAAAGCCAAAACTATACCAAAATTGTTGAATATTTATATAATCATAAATTAGAACTTTAAAAATTAAACTCCAAAATCAGCAGCCATGGCAGAAAAAAAGTTAAATGTTTGAATACACAAAAAAATTTTAAATTTTCGTGGGCTTCTTTCAAAAAGAGACATGTATGTAAAAAGTTCTTATAAACCAATAAAGCAAAAACAGGCACACCTGTATAAAAATAGAAAATAAAGAACAGAGATTTTTTTAAAATAAGAAAAAACACTAGAATAAAAGGTTCAGCTAATCAAGTGCATGATAAAATCACAAGAAAATGGCTTCATTTACTGAGCTGATCAAGCTGAACAGGATCCCAGTAGCTAAAGAGAAGGGGCTGAGGGAGGCTGAGGGTCCACAGTGCTGGTGGGTCCTGTAAACGGTCTCCCCGGAGCCCAGCTCCAGTCCTCATGTGACTTTCTGCTATGTGGGGGGTGGAGAGCCCCCAGCCTTGGGAGCCAAGGTCTTGAACAGAACTCAGGATGCACCAGTCAAAGACACTCACCACCAAAGAGGAGAAAGACATTAACCTCATGACAGCCACTGGCTGCTGAATGAACGTTCCCTACAGTGGTAGAAGGAGCTTTCTCAACCCTGGTGGAGAAATGGCAACCCTTTACCTCCCAATTAGTCCTGAGAGCTGAGCTAGAGGCTCAGTCTCACATTCTAGTGACTCTGAAAGCCACTCCTAACATAGCAATGAGTAAGGACCCTTCTGGTGAATCTACTGCAGGCAGCTTCCTGTGTCTATTACGTGATGCTCTTCTCTCAAGTCCCATCCATGCTCTGAAACCAACAGAATCAGGAAAAAGGGAATCTGGATGGGATCCTATTAACATAAAGGATGGTGAATTGTCATTGGTGGTCATCTGGGGTCTACTGGACACAAGGCTCTGGCTGGCTCCATAGCTGATAGCTGTCTGCACAAATAATTATGGCCAATGGAAGCTTTGCACGGAGGGGGACTTAGGACTTCTGATCATGCTGGAAAGCTCAGAGAAAGACGTGAGGAGCCAGGAAGGCAGGCTGTCTTCCAAAAAAGAATTTTTTTGTCAAAAGTCTGGAGTCACCCAAAATTGGAGCAGGACCTGAGATGGAAAGGTGGTAAATGACAGTAATCACCAGCCTCATCAAATCATACACAAGCATCAGAGACTTGACCATAAGTGGAGGAAGGACTTCAAAAATTGGAAGACAAACTTTAAGAGCCATTGAATGAGTTCAAGTTGTCTCAATCTTGAAATCTTGCAGGTCATTCTTGCTCCCCGTGGAATAGGCTGTTCCTACCTCCATTGGAACCATGGTAACAGCCTCTCCTGGGGCCATTACTTACAAGTAGATGCCAGTTCCCTCATGTCCCTGGGCCACTATCATGCTTTTCTCCATGGCAGGAATGTGTGCTCTGAAATGCATCATTCCCTGATTTTACTGCTTTAGGGACATGACAGAGTGTGCTCATACAGCACTAGACAGTGGGTCTGTCACTCTCTGGCCACTGGAGGCAAACAGGAGCTTCTGGAGAAACATACAGTCTGCTTTTGAGTAAACTCTGTGCTTTATAAAATAGAAGGCGTACACCCTAAAATAACAAGAAAAATTCAATAAATTATAAATAGTAACTTATTAATCTTTAAATAATTAAAATTTAGTAAATAGTAAATATGCAAACCAGGAACACACAGGTGTTTATTATCATTACTAAATATTGCACAGTGCACATCATTGTACATGCTGTCTTCCTATGGCTGGCAGTATAGTGGAGTTCCTGACTCAATGTCAATGTGAAAGTAAGATGGTGCGCTATGACATTACAATGACCATGACTAGGGCACTATTAGATGACAGGATTTTCAGCTCCGTTATAATTTTATGGGGCCAACATCATGTACGTGGTTCATCATTGACCAAAATCTCATTATGCAGCCTTGACTGGATTCAAATTCCTTCCAGGTTGTAGTCAGACCCTGGAAAGGATGGAGCCAAGCAGGGAGAGAGAGCCCTGTCCCACCAAGGAGGTGGCAGGTCCTATGCCAAGAGAGATGCCAAAGAGTTCAAGATGGAACAGGGGTGTGCTCAGCGTGTTTAACCCCCAGAACCAAATAAAAAGTTAGAGTTGCAAGGTTTTCTACTTGAGCTGATCAGAAACATAAGGAAATGTGTGAGGATGGACTGGGACAGGGCAGGACATTGGAGGGAGAGATAATATTTTAGACTGGGTCAGATTTACTAATCTAAATGTACTTACCAAAGCTTTTTTGTGCTGTCTCGATCAGCTGGGCTGGTTGACTCAGTAGTAGCCTGTGATAAAAGAGCAATGTTATTGGTATAATGTATAAAAAGACATAGAGTAGACTTATCATGTGACATCACTCAGCTACCCTTTCCAGTGTCCCCCAGGAAGACTCAGAAGAGACCCCATTCACTAAGGCATTTGTAAGTTAAAAGCTGAGGGACAATTCTGAAGCCTTGAGGAAATGTTATAGGAACTACATTCTGTGCACAAGAAAGGAGGGGAAAGGTAATACCAAGCAACTGGAGAACTGATCTTGCCATTCATGATCTCAGCATTGTAGAAGCCAAATGGTGGCCCTAACCAACGAGGTAAAGGGCACAGCTACTGCAATAACCAACATGACCAAGATGGCAGCCAAGACAGTCCCCTAGGACACAAAGAGCTCTTTGCCAGGAGCTCGTCCAGAATGGGAGAGGAATTGGCAGCCCACAACCACCACACCAAAACAGCATGCTACCCCCACACCCAGAAAGCCCTCTCAATTTACTCGTGGTGTCAACTAGAGCTCCAAGATGGAGAGTTGAGTCAACTCCTTCCAGATTGACCTGAGTCAGACCTGAGTCAGCTCACAGATTAATAACTCCTGTAGGAAGGATCCTATCAGAATGCACAAACATCTGAAGCACATCTCCCCCTTGCCTCTTTCAAACAGCACATGGCTAATTCCATATTTTTCTACTAAATGAGAAAAGTAAAGTGACTGCATCTTTCAGGGATTATCGTATACTGACTCTGAGCTAACTTCAGTTCCTGGAGACCCAGCATGCCATTGGGTGCACCAATCAAGGGAAGAGTTATGGAAACAAGATGCTGAGTAGAACTTTGAGCCCATCCTGTGGTTAGTGCCTCCATTTCTAGGTGTGTAGTAGAAAAAGAGAGGCTTGGAAATTGAGTGGAAGCGTGAAGAAGAGCCCAGTGGAAACCATTAGAACTGTATTCTCATTCTGCGGCTAATATGAAACATCAAACTTAACGCAACTCCACACATTCATCCCAGGTGGAATCATAGAGAAAGGCCCACCATCCCGGGCCCCAAAAATATAAGAGGATTGATTCATCTTGCATCCTAATTGGATTCACCCACTTAGTCTATGCAAAGGCATTGAAAAATGATGTTGGATTATCATAAACTTAATCAGATGGTGATATCAAATGCCCCTGCTGTTCCTAAAGTAATCTCATTATTGAAGCGAATCAACAGATCCTGGTACCTGGTATACATCGATCAATCTGACAATTTTTTTTTTCTTTCCCAATAGCCATAATTCACTGGAAGTACATCAGTGTATTTCCTTAGAAGTACATCATCCCCATCTGATCTCAGGGCACCGCCAGTCCTCTAACTCTTTCTTCATTGACTTCACAGAGATCTTGCTCACCTCACTCTTGAGTATGACAGCATGTTGAGTGTGGTGCCCTAGGACTCTTGGTGAGACGTGGATCACAAGAAGACAGGAGATAAGAGCTCAGAGACCTGCCCCACAGCAAAAGCCAGGCAATTCCGGGTGCCTGAACACATCAGAGAGCTGCTTCAAAGTGCAAGAAAGGAGGCTGCAAAGTGCAACACCGCTAAAGAAGCAGCCTCTTAAGTTTCAAGGACAATAAATTCTACCTTCATTTATGTTGTTTTTGTCCAGTTAGCAAATATCCCCTAAAGGCACCACTGTGAAGAAGGCCCAGGAAAGAGAAGAGTACCTGGGTAACCCTGTGCCTATAAACATGTGCACCTTGAGATATAATACACACTGCTGTGCTTGAGTTTCTGAGCCAAGGCGGGCTCTTTTACAGAGCCCACATAAACCCTGGTAGGAAGACAGCAGTGCCTGCTTGTCAGGGTTTGAACCAATGTCATGCTCCCAAGAACAACTGTCCTCCTTTAGAGAAGTAATGCTTGGCTTTCCAAGGGTCCTGGTTGTCTGAATACTTGACTGTGGGCCAAGAAGTCAGCAGGTATCCTGAGTTGGTCACTGGAACTGGATGTGATCCCAGTCACCAGCCATAAAGTCAGATGTGCACCACACTCAATGTATGAGGCTCGAGCCTCCTGGACAGTTATTTACGGGCAGTTAGCTAAAAAAAGAGAAAATATAAAAAGAACCTGGTTTACAGGCTGCATAATAAAGCCAGTGACAATCATGAGTCCACTTTTGCCCATCACAACAGCTCTCCCTGGAAGATAGCAGAAGCAGGAACCCTCCTGTTTGGAAGAATTTCACCAGCCCATCTGCAGCAGGGCTTTTCCCCCTTTGCTTGCTTGTTTTTGTTTTTATTTTCCCTAGAAAGAGAGTTAGCCAGGGGTACCAATCTACACTGATTCATGGGAAATGCTTGACGGTTTAGTCATATGATCAATAGCAATACTGTAGAAAACCAGAAGTGAAGGGTTAATGATAAAGAGGTTGGAGAATGGGTGTGTAAATGCATATTCTAGAATAACCTCAGGGTGTGGAAAGTAAATCTTTACCAAAAGGTCTTCTGGAGATGCTGTAAGTCATCAGAGTGTTCTGTGCATGTCCACCACCCTCCCTTCCCCAATTCCCCTAATCTTTTCCAATGGGCTCATGAAGTAAGTAGCCATGTTGGGGCAGAGAAAGGTGGCCCATGGGTGGCCTCTTCCAGGCCTAGTCTGTCCAGCCTCATAATTTGAAGGGTCCAGCGAGCCTCCAGGTAGCAGCTCAGTTGTAACTGGATCTCTTTCAACATGGTAGGGACACCAATGCCTACCCTGGCATGAAGTCAGCCAATATGATGTTCCTTACTAGTAGCACCAACTGAGAAACAACCTGGAAAAGCTAAGGAGCATGGCAGAGCATGCTCTGACTCAGCAGTCACTCTATGTCACTCCCTCAGTCACTTTCTCATCCTTGGGACACGATACCTGACACCCACAATGTAAAGGAGGAGAAGTTTACTTGGGCTCACAGTTTCAGGAGTTTCAGTCCATATTCAGCAGGCTCACACAGAAAACAGCATGGTAGAAGGGCTTACCATGGAGGAAAGCTGCTCACATGGCGGCTAGGAAGCAGAGAAAGGAAGAACCAGCCAGGGAGGAAGAGAGAGCTTTCCAGGTCAGAACCTGTGACCACATCTTCACCCAGACCCCACCTCCCAACAATACTTTTAGCTATATAAAACTTGGAAGCAGCCCAATTGCCCATCAACTGGAGACTGGATAAAGAAAATGTGGGTTTTTTATAACATGGAGTACTACTGAGCCATAAAAAATGAGAGATTAGAGATATTTCTAGCTACATGGATGAACATTGAACTGATACTCTTAAGTGAAATAAATAGGACACACATGTATAAATACTGAATAGTTTCTCTAGCGTGAGAAAGTGAAAGTGTAAATAAGGACTAAAAGGTATAATAGATAATGTGAAATAGGAAGAAAAGGGGCAAAGGGGAAGGGGAAGTGGGAGAGGTAGGGGAAAGGAAAGAAGGGAATGGAATTAATATGAGAAAATGAAAAAAATGGAAACAAAGTCTTTGTAAATAGGAAGGGATGGAGGGGTTGAAGGGAGGGCAGAGGAAGGGGGAAAAATAAGAACAAAGAGAGATTACGTACAGGTGCAAATTTCCAATGATGAATGTCATTATATTGTATACCTAAAATGTACCAATAAAATAAAATTTTAAAAAATACTTTTAGCTATAGCACCCCATGATTCAGTCACCTTCCAGAAGTCCCTCCCATGAGCACATGAGGCTGTTGGGGAGCATCTAGCTCCGAACCATAAAAGGCACTGTTTGATTCCTTTCAGAAAACACTGGCCAGGCATCTAAGAGAAGGAAGCAAGGCTGACAACACATTTTCCATTTAACAATGCCCCCACAAAGCCTGTCTGTTTCCTGTGCCTGCAACCTTGGGCTGGATTCTTCCCAGACCCTAGTACCCTAGTAGCAAGGGTGAGATGATGGGCCCTAAAACTGCTACCTCTCTATAACTCCAAGGTCACCTATAAGCCACTGCAGTGTCCCTTGCAAGGCATCTGTGTCACTACCCAGATTTCCATGGGGACGCTTGGGGTTTTCCATCAGCAGCCTCCTGATATGGCAGCTTCCTGTGACTGCATTGACTATTGGTTAGCTGTGGCACAGGGGCTGAAATTCCCCAGTTAGTTGTTTCCTACGCTCAGCCCAGACACATATCCTCCAGTCTTCTGATAATTCTGAGCTGGGAATAAAACCTTTGTGTTTAAACTAGCTATATGGAGTTTTGATGTTTACAGTTATTCAATAATTGATCAAATAGTGGAAGTACATTTAGGAATATGTATCAGAAACCCTTAAAATTTGTGTTCTCTTTAATTCAGAATTCTCTTCTAGGAATTTATCCAAAGAAAATAAGTGGACAAGTGTGTCAATACTTATGCACAAATGCATCTTTTCTCTAATAAAGAAAAATTGGAGTTAACCTCAAATATAATTGGTAAATGAATAAGAGAACAGTATGATTCAGATCATTCCAGAAATTTCAGAATATTTCACCTTTCAATAAAGAAGACAAATCCTATGGACTGTAGAGTGAATATATGTTTCCAGAAAAAAAGTACACTCTGCAAAGAGTATTTGACTTTCCTCAAATGGTTATTCTTTTATCTTATTTTTGGAGGAAAGGAGAAGGAATGGTGACCAGCATGTACAACTTTAAAATGCTTTGGATGTAACCTGCCAGATTTCTAATTAAAAAGAAGTGTGCATTTTTTTTATTATTTAAATTATGTACTAAAGTCAGAGGACACATTCTGGTCATGCTCTGTTTCACAACCACTTAATAAGTGCACACTGCATGCCTAAGTCCTGGGGAGCCCAAGATAGCTAAGACACAGGTCTTCCCTGAAGAATCTTCAAAAGCGTCTATGAAACTGAACTCCACAGTTAAAGTTCAGAGGTTGGTCCTAATGATACAGAGCTCTGTCCTGGTTCTCACCCTTCCTGCCCACTGGACATGACCAAAGGAAGCCAAAAGTGACTTCAGGATATGGTCACAGTACAAACCTAA